TGCCACAATGAGGATATGTTTGTGTATGATAGTTTCTGATAGTTCTATTTTCTCTCTGTTATGAATTTACCTTTTCACTTTGGTAGTTAGATTTTCTCTTCTTTTTCCTGTTCAGGCTAACTATTGGTTAATTGATTTTGTTAGTGTTTTAGAAAATAAAACCTCTTCCTGGTTTTGTTATAATTTGTTATCATTTCTACAACCTTTTTATTCTTAAGTCTCTTTATTTCTTCCACAATTTTCAAGATTTATGTTTTGGATTAAAGTATTAATTAATTTTTTCATTTTCTCATCTTCTGAAAATTTCATGTTCAGTTTGTTGATTTTTTTCTATTTCATTAATATAAGTTTTAGTTATGAATCTTCCTCTGAAGATGGCTTTAGCTGTGTGCAATAATAGCCATGTTATTACTAATTATATACTATGTAGAATATATTACATATTATAGAATTATGTCATGTATAGGTATATATTAATTACATATAATTATTTAAGTTTTTCCTCCATAACAGCACTGGGAAGGAGGTAGCATTATTATCCTCATTTTGCAGATGACGAAATTGGGGAAGAAAGAGGTTAAGTGATTTGCCCGGGTCACACAGCCAGTAGGCATCTGGGGCAGGATTTAAACTCATACCTTCTGACTCCACGGCCAGAGTTCTATCCACTTGCCAATTGTTGTTTTCCCATTATTATCATTTTCTTTAATATGATTATTCATTGTTCCTATGACTTCTTTGACCTCATTATTTGAGGGTACCATTACTTAGTTTAAATTTAAGTCTTTGTTTTTCACACATCATTCATTATAATTTTATTGCATTATTATCTCTAAAAGATGTGCTTATTACTTTTGCCATTTAAAATTTTTCTCCATCAATAACAAATATTTATTAATTATCTACTCCATGTCAGGCAATGTGATGGACACTGAAGATAGAAAGACAGAAATGAAACATTCTCTGTCCTTAAGGGACTTATATCTTAATGAAGACAACATGGACATATGAGAGTATTTACAATAGATATATACTAAATAAATATGAGATGATTTCAGGAGGAAGAAATTAGAATGTTGAAAATTTCAGGATAGGCCTCATGGAACATTTATGATTTCCTTATACCCTAGTATGTGATCGACTTTTGTAATGGCATTGTTGGAATGCTTAGAAATACACACAATTTTGAACCTACTACACAGAAATTATCACAGGTCAGTCAAATATATATATGATATATATATATATATATGCATATATATGTATATATATATTTCTAACAGTTTCTTTAACTCTGTGTTTTCTTTCTTATCTGCTAGATTTATTCAGCTCTTAGAGAGGAATATTACAATCTCCTACTATTACTGTGTTACTACCAATAAATGCCTTTTATGCAAATCACTTAACTTTGCTTTTGAGAAATTAAAACCTATGCCATTTGGTGCATATATATTTATTGTTATTATTGTTGTAGTCATTGTTGTTTTTTGAAACTGGGTCACCCTATCTTACTCCTCCAGACAGGAAATGCACTGGTCACTCATGGGCCTAATGCCAATACTGATGGGCACTGAAGCTTTAACCCATTCCATTTTTCTGACTTTGTCCCTCCTTAGACATCCTGTCAGTGCTCTACTCTGGGAGACTCATATTATATTCTGGATTCACTGCAGATATCCAATAAACTTTAGCCCTTTTATTCACTCATTTTTCAGTCACGTCTGACTCCTCATGACCTAATTTGGGATTTTCTTGGCAAAGATACTGGAGTGGTTTGCCATTTCCTTCTCCAGCTCATCTTACAGTTGAGGAAATAGAGGTAAATGGAGTTAAGTGACTTGCTCAGGGTCACATAGCTACTAAATATCTGAGTCCAGGTTTAAACTGAGGAAGAAGAGTCTTTTTGACTCCAGGCCCAGTGCTTTATCCACTGTGCCACCTAGCCTCCCTACTGAGACTCAGAACAGAACCCAAATTTTCCACAAGCCTCAACATCCCAATAGCAGGGATTATAGGCATGGGTTACCATACCTGGCTGGTGAATATATGTTAAGTAATTTTTAAAATTTTTCTTGGAGCAGGTAGGTGGTGGAGTGGATAGCACACTGGCCCTGGAGTCAGGAGGACCCGAGTTCAAATCAAGCCTCCGATGCTTGCTGTGTGACATGGGGCAAATCACTCAACCCCAATTGCCTCCGAATTAAATAAAATGAGAATTGTCTAATGCCTTTAAGCACAGTGCAGTGCCTTGTTTTTGTGCTTGACATGAGCTATTTATATTATTGCAGTATCTCAATAAATGGATGAAATTCCTGATTTTTCCTTCACCCTGAACATAAGATTTTGTTTCACTTCCTTGTTTTCACTCTGTGTGCATCTATATTTGAAACTTTTTTTTAATTTCCCCTTTCACTGTGAACTCAACCATCATTGATAAGCACAAACATTTCCGTTGTGAAGAACCAGAAAGAGGATCTGTAAAAGGAGGGGGTTAGACCAA